TCATTAAGAATATTAGAAATGAAATAATAAATATAAAAACTTTATTTTATTAATACAATATGTTTATCTTTTAGAGATAAATATTTTAATATAGATAATATTTATTAGTTTATAATATATTTAATCATTTAATTCATTATTCTTTTTTTTTTAATATTCTTTTCATTAAAATGAGTGTTTTAAAAATTAAATTATATCATTTTTTGGAATATTTTGTTAAAAACAATAAAAGAAAATAGATATTAGAGGAAGATTTTTTAGCTATAAAAAAAGGTTAATATAAAACACAATTACAGAGTATTTATAATGAATTAATATAAATAAAAAGTAATTAATTAAGTATTAATAGAATTTTCATCATGAATTAATATAAATAAAATAAATCAAAACATTCATTAAGAATTAGATTTAGTAATAACAATTATAAAAAATTATTTATAGAAAAAACAAAAAACTAAAAGAACTTTTAATTTAATTAATTTTATAATATAAACAACTCATGTCAATTCTTAATGAAGCTAATGATTGCCATAAAATATTAGTACGATTAGTTTCATATGCAAATACAATATGTAGTGAATTATTTAGAGTTAAAGATTTAATACCAGAGGATTTTATTAACCCATCAAATTGTTGTAAAGATTTAATATTTGATTACAGTTATATTCCAAAGAGTGAGTCTATTGATATGAAAATAAATTCATCAAGAGAATTAAGAATTATTGATATGAAAATAAAGGAGAAATATGAACGAATAATTTGGAGAACATTTCAAGTATTTGAATCTATTTATCAATACACTAAACAAGTAGAAGAGTTTTATGATAAAATTATTGAAGGAGAATATCTTCAATATAATGCAGAAACATTATTAGTTGATGTTGAAGGGAAACAATTAGTATGTGAAACGTTATCATTTGTTGTACGATTATTATTATTATTAGATATATTAATACCAGGCATTGTACGTGAAAGAATACTTATTTTTGTATTAAGACATAAAAGAAGTAATGAATTTGGAGATTTAGATAAAATTATTCCATTAGTAAAAAGGACTGAGTATATTGTTGGTTCATCAAAAAAACCTTCCAATTATCCAGATGAATATTTAAAAAGAATTCATGTTAATGATTATATTGTTCAAATGGCTATTGGTAGAATGCTTTCAGATGATATTTATAATACAACAAAATCATTTCCACTTCCAGATCATAGAAGTTCTGCATTAAGTGCACAAGGAAGTTTATTAACAATGATATTGTTTTTATCTCCTCAAACATTAAATAATAACATTTCATTTATGAATGAAGTTGTTAATAAATTTTTTGGTGATTGTTGGATAGTACCAATATACATTGGTCATTGTATTGATTTAACTTTCTTTTGGGATTCGTATAAATCAGCTCGTCAAGCATTACAACGAGTAGTTACTCCATCTCATATTGAAAATATTTGGAAAGGACATCAACAAGTAATGGCTAAATGTAAAGTTGAATTACAAGGATATTTGGAAGAAGGAGGAATGACAGATGAAAAAGTAATGTTAAATATGCAAAAATTAATTAATTGTCAACGAAATTGTAATGTAGTATTAAGATGGGCATTATTACATGGAACATATCCAATTAAAAAATTAAGAGATATTTTTGTTAAACCTAAATATCATGAAGATATTATTGATTTTTTACTTGAAACTGCTCAATTTGAATTTGAATTAAAAAGGATTATCGGTAATATTGTTAAAGAAAAACCATTACAATGGGAAAATTTAAAGAATGAAAGTTCTAAAAGAATGAAAGATTTATCCAATTATTTTAATGATGAAAATAAATTAAGTGAACATTCTAATTCAGGACTAATGAAATGGTGTTTGTTTATGAGTGAACAAATTGATAAATTAGATGTAAAAGAAATTTCAAGTGGAAAATCATTAAGTAAATTAATACAAGCTATGGAAGAAGTTGAAACTAATTATTTAAATGATTTATCATTAGTTGTCGTTGAGACAGTAAGAAAAACTAAAGATATGTTAACAAAAATGTTTAGACTATTAAATGTTAATGACACAGTTAGAGGATTATTAGATAATATATCAGATTGTTCTTATGCTAATGAATTATTATCTACTCAAGTGTACGTTGAATATTTACAACAAATTATAAAGAAAAATCCAAGAAATTCATTAAAATTAAGAAGTTTAATTTTAAAAATGTCATCTATCCTTCATCTTGCTTTATTAAGAATGATGCAAGCTAAAACTGATGAACAAATGGAAAATGTATCTAAATATTATTCAGAAGTTTTAGTAAATTATGTACAAAGAGTATTAGAAGTTATTCCAGAACAAGTTTTCTTATTAATTAATTCAATTGCTAAATTACAAGTTACAAGTATTCCAGAAACTCCAGTCTTTGTTGAAAAGAAAGATATTATAAGTTTTGCTTTATTCGATGAAAGAAATTATCTTGCTGAATTAACTCATGCAGTATCTATTTATGCTGAAGGAATTCTTGCTATGGAAACTACGTTTGTTGGTATTATTCAAGTAGACCCAGTTAAGTTACTTGAAGACGGTATTAGAAAAGCTCTTGGAAGAAGATTAAAAAATATGTTTTCTAAGACATTACAATTTAAAATAAAAGGTAATTTAGGTGAAACTCTTACACAGTTATCTGAATTATCAAATCAAATTGGAGGATTTTCTACATCTTTTAGATATATTCAAGATTATCTTCATATTGATGGTCTTAAAGTATGGCAAGAAGAATTTACTAATGTAATTTCAACATGTGTTAATGAAGAATGTAATAGCTTTTTGGCAAATGGATTAGATACAGTTAATTCTCAAACGTTTATTGGTAAATTAACAAGTCAAATAATGAGTATTGTTGATTATCGTAAAAATGTATTTTATCTTTCTGCTGCAAATGGATGGTTCTATAAAGATGGAAAAGAAGTTATTGGATATGTTTTTATGAGAAAATTAGTTAGCGCTCTAAGCGTTTTAGGAGTTACTGGAATTAATCAGTTATGTGCATTTAAATGTGTTAAAGAATTAAATGATATTATCACAACAGTAAATTTAATTGTTGAGAAATATTCTGTGTTTAATCAAATGACGCAAAACTTTAATGAAAATAAATTAAACGAACAAAATATTTTTAAAGTTATTGATAATGGACTATCTGTTGTAACAAAAATTGGTAGATCGTTAATTGATACTTTACATAATCTTGGAACATTACAACTCTTAAGAGAACAACTTAATTGTCAATTATGTTCAGAAAATAGAACAAAAGCAACTAGTCTTCACTTTGCACTAAAAAGTTTTGACCAAGCATTGGTACATGACTTTTTTGAAAACCCAAATAAAAAAGAACGAGAACCACTTATATATAATGAAATTAATAGATTTCTTGATGTTGCTGGATTTGTTCCTGCATTATCTAAAGTGTATATAACATGTGCAGAAGGTGGTGATCAAATTGCATCAGTATTATCATCATTTATATTATATTGTAGTCAATTCTTTATATTTGATTCAAAGTATCAAACACTTATGCTTCGACCAAAAGCACCTGTTCCATATGATCCTTATGTTCTTGCTGTTGGTATTGTGACAGTATTTAGACAATTTCATCCCTCAACAATGTGGGCTTCATTTAGTTATTTATCTTTATATGTAAAAGGGGTAATGACTAATTGCTTAACATTATCAAAACAAATTCCATTTATTATCTTCCAATTATGTGATTTTATGACTTCTATTATTCAAATAGGAGGATATGATAAAAAAATATATGACTCTCTTATCCCAGTATCTCTTCTTGCTTCATTGAATCAACCAAATTAATTTAGTCAATACTAATTAGTTTAATTATTTTTACTTGGAACTTGTTTTTAAAGAAGATGTACATATTGCTCTGACTCTTCTTTTGTTGTTTCAATAATACCAATCTTTTTAAATAAAGTTTGCCAATTTCCCCATAAATTAAATAAATGATGGAAATAAAAAAATGTTACTGCACAACATAATGCATCTGATGAGGCTGTTGATATAACTTTAAAGAATGATATAGTTTCTGGCAATATTTTTTTTACCATTAATGTCAATGGAGGTTGAGCTAAACATGAAGCCATGATAATGAAATACCCAGAAAATAAAATCATTTGTTTTGCAACTTCTTTTATTTCTAAGTCTTCTATTTTCCAATACTGAAGGAAATGCAATGTATTTGTATATAGTGATGATTTATGAATAAAAGTAATTATTGCAATTACACCAATCAACAAACATAAAATAATTCTTGGAATAATTGATATTCCCCATCTAATTCCTGAAGATGTACTAACACATATTGCAAATTCTAATGCACAAGAATGTGTGTATATTGGAATTGAAGTGAAAAAACATATAGACCAGACAATACAATGAGTAATGACACATCTTTTTTTATTTTCTTCTAAACAAATGAGTTGATGAAGAAAATATTCAACAACACAACATAAACACCATAGTGTTTGTCCCTATTTTGTGTTAGACTAATTCTTTAAATGAAAATAAACAAACATATTGAACAAAATTTACAAAAGCAGCTTCAAAATGACATATTTTTGGATTATTTTGGTGTGACAAGAATATAGCAGATAATATTACAGAGAAACATCCAAGTAAATTAACAAACATTAACATTGCAACATAGTGTTTAACGTTTGACTGACAATACACAGGAAAATAAAGGAATGCAAATACACCCGCAATAGCAATTACAAATACTCCTAAATCCATGATAAATTTTAAAACAAGAACTGCCACACTAAAACCCAAAATCATTACTATAAAATAGATATTAAGATCTAGATTTAATAAAAAAGAGGTAAAACTAAATTATTCTACTCGTTTTTCATTTATTGGTGAGTAAATATATCTTATATTATTATTTTTGTCAAGCGGAAGGTCTAATGAATCACTTCTTGATAATTCAAAAGGGATTGGTGCTTTACATCTTTTTGAATGTTTTTTTTTGTGACCTTAATGGAGAATAATCATTAAAAGAAATAGATTCAAGGTCCATTCTTCTAACAGTTGAAATTTGTTCTTCTGAGCCTAACATAGCCTGATGAGTGATTGTTCCTTCTAATTCATGTGACTTTCCTCTTTCAGTAATACTACAATCTAAATTAATACCTCTTTGTTTTTTTTGTTGATGTAACAACTCTTCATTTTGAATAGGTTCTTTTCTTAGTATCTGTCCAAACTCTTGTTTAAATGCTTTACTTTCAGTAACTCCTTTTTGATAGAATATTGTATTTTGGAATATTTTATTATGAGATGAATGTGTGTGTGTAGATTCTTTTTCGTTAATACTATTTTTGTCCTGTTTTGTTAATGTGTGATATCCTATATTATCTTGACTATGACTGAAAGTTTTTTGATGGTTTAATAAAAACAATTCTGCAGATGGGACATAAGTAAGTATAATATATGATTTATCAATATAATATGGGAGTGACTCAAATTGATTACCATCCTTTGAATGAAAAATACAATACAATTGGTTAGGCTTTTCTTGATAATATAATAGCTCGTTATTTGCCCTAAGGATTGAAAGTTGGTTCATAAGCTCTTTAAACGTTTCAGAGGAATTAACACAGACGTACGTTTCAACACATGGAACCAAATAAAATAATAAACCAAGCACAAAAGATCCTACTCCAAGAACCCAATGTTTCAATCTTTTAAATAAGACAGCACAATACCTTGTAACATTTTTAATATTGAAGATGAAATATTTAATAAGCTCGTAAATACTTACCAATACAAAAAAGAACACACCAAATAATAAACATAATATATTAAATGCTTTGTTAGTAGCAAGCATAGTCATTTTTGTTAATATCCTCAAGCTTACTTCATAATTTATTTTAATGCTCGGAATGAGATACAATCATCTCAAAATATTATTAATTAATAAGGAGAGATTACTTTGAATGAAATCGTAAGGTCAGAATCAATACACACAGTCGCCCCTTTGTTATCAAAGATACCAGCATATTGGCAAGCAGAGAATACTGTGACACACCTTCCTTCAACAATAAATCCTTCTTTAACCACTTCATGACCACGAATTATATATTCTAAATTATTATCATCAAGAAATTGATTGAGTTCTTTTACTCCAAAAACAAAACTAACTTCTCTTCGTTCATTATGTGCAAACCCAACCTGTTCTACATCAAAATCAGACCATAACAGATCTCTAAGAAGTCCTTCTTTTGGAATATCAACTGGTCTCTCAATTCTTCTCAACTGAGTGACATACTTTAATAATGGAGATATTCCTCCATGAACACAAAAAATTTTGTTGTTGATAATTGCAGCAAATGGCATTACATTAAAAGTAGATACGAAGGCATTCCAAATATGCAAAGTTCCGTATTTATAAATACATTCATGGTAAAACAAATTTCTTCTATTAATTCGTGCACACTCATGATCACCACGACAAATAAAAATAAATCTTGGATATTTTACTTTCAAGGCATATAATAAACAAAGAACTTCTATCCCAAACTTTCCTCGATCAACATAATCCCCAAGGAATAAATAAGTTATGTCTGGTGGTATTCCATTACTTTGAAAATGACGAATTAGATCAAAATACTGCCCATGAAGATCACCTAAAACAACAATCTTATTAGTAATAACAAGATTTAATAAAACAGGTTCACTCATCATTTCGTTTCTTACTTTTTGACAAAGGTAACTACAACAACTGTTATTCCTTAAAATTAATTGAAATGCTTGAATTAGAAAAACTTCAAACTATATAATATCTACAGTAATAATTCTGGTTAATTCTTTACTTGTTCTTGCTTTAAATAATTCAATGATTAACAAATCAATATTAGGTACATTAGAAGTTATAGGTACAAGCATTGCTCTTGACATCAAGAATGAACAATTTTTAGACCTATTTTTGTTGTTTGAAGTATTACAAAAAAAAATTGAAAATAAAATACTGATAAACCTAACAATAACTGAAAATAGAATTCCATTCATTTTGTTTCTATGGATTTGATAAGCAAATTCAACTTTCTTTTCATAATAGTAATTTCATCTTTATACTTAGCCATCTTATCGTCAGCCTCAGCTTTAATTCTTTCTAGTCGTGCACCAGCACCTGCTTTTCTTAATTTTTCGTTTTCAGCAGTCAAAATCTTTAATCTACTTTGTAATCCTTTAAGCCGTTCTTCTATTTCTGACTTGAAATCATCAAGTTCTACTTGACTTACTCCTCCACTTTGTGATGCCTTCATCATCTTTATAACTTCAGCACCTTCTAAACGTGCTTTTTTTTCTGCTGCAACTTGTTGTTCTAATTCAGTAACACGAACCTTTAATGTAGTAATAACTTCATCTTCTTCTAGTGTAGGAGGGATTTTGTCCATATCTTCTTTTGAAGTTTCTTCTTTCTTTCTTGTTAATTCATTAATTTGGTTTTGTTGTTGTTGGATAGTTTGTTGAAGAGAAGCTACTAAGACAAGGTCTTTATCATGTTGTTCCCTAATTTGTTGAACTTCAGCCTTCTCTTCATCTAATGTTTGTTGTAAGAAGTCACGTTCTCTTCTCATCTTGTCTAACTCTAATTTCAACTCTTCTATTTCTTCAAACGCCTTTTCTTTTTCTTCATCAACATAGTCCTCTTCGTATGTTTCATTTGTTGTTTGTGTGTTGTTATTATTTTCTTGTTTAGTTGAATAAAATTCTGAGCTTGTATTTCCATTTTTATAGTCATCTTGTGCTTGTACTTCTTGTTTATATTCATTTTGTATTTCTTCTGATGGATTTTGAGTAATAGGAATAGTTGGTTGCACAACCTCTTGAATATTCTCAATAACATTTTGTTGACTCTCTTCTTGATCAACTTCTTCAACGAGAGGAGTTTCTTCTTCTTGTTTTGGTTGTTCTTCTTGTTGTGGTTGTTCTTCTTGTTGTGGTTGTTCTTCTTGTTTTGGTTGTTCTTCTTGTTGTGGTTGTTCTTCTTGTTGTGGTTGTTCTTCTTGTTGTGGTTGTTCTTCTTGTTGTGGTTGTTCTTCTTGTTGTGGTTGTTCTTCTTGTTGTGGTTGTTCTTCTTGTTGTGGTTGTTCTTCTTGTTGTGGTTGTTCTTCTTGTTGTGGTTGTTCTTCTTGTTGTGGTTGTTCTTCTTGTTGTGGTTGTTCTTCTTGTTGTGGTTGTTCTTCTTGTTGTGGTTGTTCTTCTTGTTGTGGTTGTTCTTCTTGTTGTGGTTGTTCTTCTTGTTGTGGTTGTTCTTCTTGTTGTGGTTGTTCTTCTTGTTTTGATTCTTGTACTTCTTCTTGTTGTGGTTGTTCTTCTTGTTTTGATTGTTCTACTTCTTGTTTAATTATTTCATTTGATTGGTGATTAGACTCAATAACAGGTTGGACTTCTTTAACTTGACTTTCTATTTTATTTTCATTATGCTCTTCTTGTGTTTGTGGATTTTCTTCGGTGTGTTCTTGTTGAACAATCATAGGCTTTATTGATTTCTTGAAGAAACTTCTCTTTGGATTCATAGACTCTCTCATAATATTTTGTTTCTTTTCTTCATAAACATGTTTAGTATTATCAACTTCTGGCTTTGCTTTTCTTCTTCTTTGTGTGAAGAATCCTTTTCTACTAACTTTATTTTCTTTTTTAAAGAAATTAGGTTGATCAACTGGTAATTGAGCATCTCCAGTCTTACGTGCAGCAGTTTGATTTTTGAAATGAGTAATACCCTCAGTATACTCCTTTCTATATGGCTTCACAAATTTTTGTATCTTTACAAAGCTTCTTGGTACAAATCCTTCAACACCACTTCTCTTACCAATTATCCAATTTTCATCAACTATTTTCATTACAATCCAAGCTTGATTTGCAATAATAGTCATTTCATTCTGATTACGGGCTTGGAATGTTTTCTCTACAATAACATAATCTTGGCCATCTTTAATAGTCATTAAATTACTTGTAGGAACTAATCCACTTTGTTCTCCTTTAAAACACTTAGACATACCATTGGCTTCATTAGATAACACTATCAATAATTCACTTTGTCTAACAGCAAGAAGACCCATAGAACCTCCACAAAAATCATCCAATGTAATAGCAGTTTCTTGTTTAATTTTTTTATCAGACTCACTTAATAAGCAAATAAAACTTGATGGAAATATAAATTGTTCTTGATCAACAACTACTACAGCCCAACTTCCAATTATTTTTTCTACATAAAAAATATCACCAACTTCTGCTGATAATTGACTTTCTCCTTTTGACACATAGTCAAATAACACAACAGCCTCTTGTTTTGCTTCTTTATTTATTGGTCCAGACACTTCTACATATTCTCCTGGGAAATATCCCATTGAACAACCACTTCTACCATACCACCATCCTCCTTCACAACTCATTACCTCAATTTCATCTCCAGCAATTAAATTAATTTCTTTGTCTGAATGTGGTTGATATAATTGTTTTACTGTTGCACGACAAGGAAGTATTTTTGGTTTTTCGGGAATAGTATGAGAAGCTTCTCTATCTTCTTCTTTATATAATGAAGTAAAATTTTGTGGAATATATCCTGTTTCAAATCCTCTTTGACAATATAACCATCCAATACGTACATTCTTTTCTATTACTTTTAAAACTTCTCCTGCTTTAGTTTTCATACAAGTAGAGTCTCCTGTTGAAAAGTCATAATTCATGACGACTGTCTCAATAACTGGAATACTTACAGTTGAGATATGAAATAACCCTGTTTGATTGTTTAATGTTCCTTTCCATAATCCATTTGACATTCTATCGACTACTTTAATATTATCTCCTTCCATGAAAGATAATTTTAAAGAAGAATGAGAAGCGACATTACATTTAGCCTTAACAATCATTTGACTCATTTCTTATATTCAGATAAATCACTATCTAAAAAAGTTCTCATATTCAAAACTTTTATTTCTTTTCTTTTATAACTTCATTTCTTTCTTTTTCTTCCCAATTAATCATTTTCTTTTAACTTCTTTTTTACCATCTTATAATTATTGTCCCTTCATCTATTTTTATTTCTATAGTTTTTAATATTATGTTTTTATTACATTTTAAGTCATGTCTTTCAAATCATCCTTAAAAATTATATAAATAACATACTGGTTAATTAAAAAATTTAATATTTAATTGACTTAAAATACACTTCTTGTTTTTCTTGTAGACTCCACTTCCCTCTCTTATAATTATATTACTTTTATTATTTTTGTACAAGACAAATCTTATGAAATATGTTAAAAACAAAAAAAAAATCAAATGAAACAATTAAAAACTGTAAATGTTTATATAATGTCAATATTTTTGAAAGTGACAATTATTTGCTTATAATACAAAATCATTTCATTTATTTCATAATAAATATTTTAATAGTTTATTTCTTATTCCTTTCTTTTTGAAAAATCATAGAATTTAACTTTTTTTTTGTTATTTTTGTGTTATTAAATGAAAAAGAAAAAAAAGAAAACAAAATTTTTTATCAAAATTCTTGAATTAATATAAATTAGTAGTTATTTACATAATTTACTTGTACTATATGAATTTTTAATATTTTTTAATATACAGAATTTATAATTTGTATTAACAATGGAGCAAAAATATCATTTCATAATCTTAAACATTTATCTTCCTGTTTCTAACCAATTTTCTTCCACTCATAAATTCTAAGAAAAATTAATATGTAAAAGTAAAGAAAGAAGTTTTTTATTAGTTTTATAATTTAATCTAAATAACAATTTTGTTTTATTATTGTGTATAGTTGTGTTTTAAGAATAAATTAGTAAATTCAATAAAAAATTGTAATTTAGTTAATAATAACAAATAAAATGATATTGTTATTAATAAGTCTTATGAAAAAAACAAATTACAAAAATCTTTTTTTAAATTTTTCAACAACATGATTGTTTCTTTTGAGTTGGTTGAAGAGAAGCATCATCCAAAAGTTTTGGTACAGAAATGAGTCGTTCCATAATATTTTTGTTTTTTGAAATAGAGTCAACTAAAACATTGAATATACTTTCAACATTTTCACCAGTTTTGGCTGAACATCTCATTGACCTTAACCCTCCACTTAAACGACAAAACTTTTCTGCAATTTCAGATGTAACAACAGCATCTTCTGAATCAATTTTATTTCCAACCACTAATATTTCTGGTTTTATACTACAGTCATTTAATTCATTTATCCAATATGTAATTTTTTCGAAAGAAGTTATATCAGTAACATCATATACAATTAAACAGCCATGGGTACCACGATAATAAGACGAAGTAATATTTCTAAATCTTTCTTGTCCAGCAGTATCCCATAATTGTAATTTAACTGTTTTACCTTGGTAATTTATTATTCGTGACTTAAAATCAACACCGATTGTTGAAATTAATTCATCATGAAATTCATTTTCACAATACCGTTCCAATATAGCTGTTTTACCAACAGCTGATTCTCCAATAATAAGAATCTTAAATGTCATATCTACTTGTTGTTGTAAATGTGGTTCAATGTTCATATTAATTCGATTTTTTGGATGTTGTTTTTTAAGTTCATTTTAAGATACCTATGATAGTCCAAGTGAAAAGTTTTTGTTTTTGCTTTACTTAACTTTTTTTATTTTTTTATTTTTTCGTTTATAAATAACATTCAATTTTATATTAAGCTATTTTTTTAGTTTTTTATACCTTTATCATCTATAAAATGTTTATGTCTGAAATGGATGATACATATCAGGGAAAGTCTCTTCCTACTTTTTCACAATCTAAATCTAAAACAATGATTTTTCACAAGAGCCAAGAGACAAGCACTGTTGTTAATGTTTTTGACAACCCTAAAAGAAAAGTCATAGAAAATCTTGACTCCTCAAATAATATAATAAACGATGTTTCTACTTCCAATCTCTCCATTGAGTCACCTGATTTGGGATGTTCTCTTGATTTTAATGATATACAAATTCTTGATATTGAAGTTTATGAAGATTATCCAATTTTTGAAGAAGAAAAAGATTCATTAATAAAATTATATCATTATATGATGAAAAGAAAAGCTCTTAGAAAGAAGAATGTTAATAAAGATCAATCTAAAAGTCAGTTGACTTCAACAACATTAAGTTTTATACTCTTTTTAGACTTTCTTCATTTATATATTAATATGGTAAGACTCAATTTATTTTCAGGATTTTATGAATATTATGTATTAGTATTTCTATTTTCTTTTCTTTTAATGATTTCAATGCATTATTCAAATTCGATTCTGATTTATTTATTTACATTACTTTATATCTTTATTTATTGCTATACTTTAATTAGTAATATTCTAATCACAGGGAGTGATGAGTCATCAAATAAAAATCAGTCAAAAAGATGGTATGGATTTATTGTTCCATTAATATTTGTTCTGTTCTTAGGAGTTATTTTTTATATGTGGATATATCCTTTACTTTATAAACTAGTTTCTTCATTACTCAAATCACGATTTTCTATTAGGAAAATTGTAAGTAAAAAAACTCAAAAAACTAAATATGAGTTTGATCATGGAAAATATTTGTTTATGATTAATGAGTTTGATCAAAACAATTTAAATAGAACAAGTGGATTTGGAACATGGATAGATAACTCTTTTCATGGAGAAAGATTAGAAGGATATTTTGACAATGCTATTCCTGTTGGTCCATTTCATTCAGTTGAAAGTAAAACACCAAATATATTTAAGTCAATTAGAATAATATTTGCATCAAATTCTGGTGGTAAATTATTTATTGAAAAGACTAAATTAGGATATGGAGTTGCTTCAGTAGAGTGTTGTGTTAGTGGAACTTTTTATAAACATTATCCATTAGTTCATTATATCGCTGAAAAAAAAGAATGTAATTGTAGAAAACGAGAATGTTTTTGTATAAGTAATATTCTTAAAAATCATTTATATTTTCATTTAGAAGAAAATAAACCTGTTTCAAATATTAGTGTTATGGTAGATCAAAAAGAGAATTGCTTGTTTATTCCTGGTTATTATTCAAAACATGCTAAAAAAAGAAAAGAAGTAACAATAACAGTAAAAGATTTCAATAATGAAAAAACGTTAGAAGTAGATTCTCATTGGATCAAACGATGTGGCTCAGTTGCTGAAGGAAATATAGAAGTGCTTTTATTTATTCATGGACTTGACCACACTTTATATGATGCTCTTCGAAGAATGGGTCAAATGCTTGCACTAGGAAATTTCCCACAACATATCCTTCCTTTAGTATTTAATTGGCCATCGTCTCAAAATGCTGCTTGTTATTACTGTGCAGCAAATAATGCATGTGACAGAAATCAACACAGAGACTTTTTTAATTTTTTAAAGTCTTTACAAAATGCAGGTGTTAAAAGAATTCATATAATGTGTCATTCTCTTGGTTCTAAATTCTTTATGCAAAGCTACTTATTGGTTCAGTCATTATTTAAAAAAGTTTCTAAGAGTTCTACAAGATATTCTACGTATGGGACTTCTTCTGATATTAGTGAGGGAGAATTAAATGAAGATATTGAACAGGGAAATATTAAAATGGAATTTGCTAATCTGATTTTACTTAATTCTGATTATGAAGTTGAAACATTCGTTGAAGATTATAATGAACTAAAGGAACGTTGTGAACATATTACAATTTATGCTGATCAAAGAGATTCTGCATTACATGTAAGTAATTTTCTTACAAAAAAAGAACGATTAGGAGCCCGAACTACACCACTAGAATATAATGGGGAAGTTTTAGATAAAATTGATGTTATTGATACATCAGAATTAGATAGAAATATTAACGAAGCACGACATGGATTTTTTAATATTAATAAAATGATGATTGACGATCTTTTTGATATAATTGTTAATTCTAAACCAGCCTCTTCTCGAGTAACTCGTTTAGTAAATATCAACGGAACTTATAGGTTTTCACTTCTTCCTTCTTTTTCTCAAATGAGGTTTTCACAAGTAGAACAAAAGTGACACAATTTGTTATTTAGTTTTTAATTCAAATTAACAAAACATTTTAATTTTTAAACTTCTTCAAAAAAAAAATACATTGAAATTTTTTTATTGTTTTAAACTAAAAAAGTTATTTTGAAAAGACTTTAGGAAATGTTTATCACCAAAGAAAGTCTGAATAATTTAAAATATTATAAGTACAGTGGGGTTGACCACTCATTATGTGCTAATTATATTCTCTCTCCTTATTTTTGGGAACCTCTTCTTGCTCATTGTATTCCGAGAAGTATTGCTCCAAATATGATAACATTAATAGGTGGACTTTTTATGGTATTGGCATATATTCTCTTTGTCACTGAATCACCAACAGGAAGTGAAACTGTATCTACATTTACTTTAGTGATGAGTGGAATTCTTATTTTCTTATACCAAACTGCAGATAATCTTGATGGTAAACAAGCAAGAAGAACAAGCAATTCATCTCCTCTTGGAGAATTGTTTGACCATGGAGTAGACACATTTATGATGGGAATCTTTTCAATGATAATAGTTATAGTTTTCAAATTTGATTTGACAACACAATTATTTATTTTTGTATTTTTATTAACTGTATTTTATATGTCTCATTGGGAAGAATATCATACAAACACTCTGGTTCTTGGATATATATTTAATCCAACTGAATTACAATTATTATGTGTAGTTGGTTTATTTATTATTGCCATTAATCCAAATATTATTTATTTAGAAATATTTGGAATAACAATTCAATATTGGGCAAAATATTGTATTATTGGATTTGCTTCATTAGCAGATATTTATTATGTTTATTCTGCTTTTAGTCACATTAACAAAACTCATTGTTGTACAAAAATAGAAGCATTAAAACATGGATTTCCATATTTATGTTTTAGTTTATTGTCATTTATAAATATTTTGTTATTACCAAATACCTTTATTATCTCTCATTATCATTTGTTTATTGGAACATTAATTCTTATTAATGCTTATTTAACTCAAAGGTTAATTGTTCATCGAATTTGTAAAGAACCTGTAACATATTATCATACCCTTCTTATACTTTATGCACTTTATACTTTAAATGGTCTTTTTTATTCTTTACAAATACCAGCCTTTAACTTTTATTTCTCTTTACAACTTTTATTTGGCTTTGCGTTAATATTTGAAATTGCTTTTATATATACCATTATTACTTCTTTTTCAAAACACCTTCACATTAATGTATTATTTATTACACCAAAACATGATTAAAAAAAAAGAGTTAATAAGGAATTAATATTATGAAGTAAATAAGAGAGAAGTATAACACAAAGAATTTAATTTACAAGTTATTTTAAATCGTTTTCCTTTTGTTTTAAATATAAATAAAAAAGAAAAATTTAAATATTTTTTTAATAATACATTAATAATTTTTAATAAAGTACCACATAATTACTTCCAAACCCAACTCTTTTAAATGCTGACATTGTTCTTTCCATAAACTCTCCTCTTGATGTGGAACGAGAAACAATTTCATCTGTTGTAACAGAATTTTCATTTTCATCAATTTTTTTCATATCACTATAACTAATATCAACACATTCTTTACCATTTGCTTCAACACATAATTCTTTTAGAACATCATTAACTTTAGAACCAATTCGAAAGATATCTTCTTTATTATAAAGTGTTTTTCCACTTTTAGAAATTTCACAAAACTTTTGCATTTTAACAGTATAAATAGAACTTCTTGTTCCACGAATTGTGAAATTATATCCACATCTTTGTGCAAATTCAATAAGTAAATTAACACATAAAGAAGATTTGCTTTTATCAAAATGTCTTTTTAATTGTTTTTGTTGACAAACTCTAATTGCAGGATTTGTCATATTTTGACAACGCCTTCCAATCTCTTCACAAAATTTAAATTCATTAATACCTTTTTTAATACTTGAAATAACAAAGAAATGTTTAGATAAATGAGCAAATTTATCTGGTCTATCAATAGTAACAATATATCCATTTTCAATTAATAGATACATTAAAATAGATTGTTGAATAGCTTCCCAACTTTTACTTTCTTGTTTTAATTCTCTTTGAGACAATGAATTGGTTTTAGACCTTGGCTTTCTCCCAAAGTCTTCCATGATTTAGAATTAAGTTTCAACTTTCTCTAAAAAGAAAAAAAGAACACGTCATTTTTTTTCTTTAGAATTTCTTTTTATTTCTTTTTCCTTCTTTAAATTATTATTCGTTTTTTCTATTTTTTATGACTCGTTTTATTATTTTTTTAATTTAATAAATAGGGTTTTTCTTTCTTTTATAACAATTAAAAAATTTTAAACTCAGAATGTTATAAATTTGTTGAATTTCTACTATTTTTATTAGTTTCATTTTGTTGAGTTTTTTCCTTTTTCTTTTTCATTTATCATTTCTAAAAATTTTATAGTTCTTTTAAACTTCAATAATTATTTTAGTGTATTCTAATTCCTTCTTTTAACATCAACGGCACAGTAAATAATTCTGATATTTCTTTTTTTTTTTTTTTTTTTGAAACTTCGAATTTTTTTGGATGACTTATTTCAAGAATTTATTTTACTAAATAACGTTTTGTTTATTAATTTATTTATAAAAATAATTGGTTCAATCAATTAAATACCAAGAAAAATTTAAAAGAAAATAGATGATGGTATTTTGTTTGAATTGTGGTTTAAGTCATTATTTTTATCCTCTTAATTGAATTATTTTATTTAACCTTTAAGTCTTTTTATGCTACTGTTTTTTTTTTTTTGTTTTATATCATTTTCTAAAAAATTGTTTTTTAAAAATAAAAAATTTATTTCTTTCATTGTCTTATAGTTTCGTTACAAAAATCATGTCATTTATTGGTATAGCTTATAATTAATTGTCTTCTCTTTAATGTAAAATCCAACCTCATTAGTTTTAGATTCATTTTGATGTTTATAATTTAAGTTAAAGTTCTTTGTTTCAATTTCTGTTTTAATTTGGTTTCAGTGAAAGTATTGTGTTTTAAAGAAATATTATTTTTTTGTCTATGAAAAAGTGGTGTTATTAAACTTGTGGTTATTGTTCATAAAAATCTGATTGGTTAAGATTGTCATTTAAAAAATGATTTGAACATAAATTACTCTTTTTGTCGTGATTGCTAAAAAATGAGAAGTCATTTACCAAAAAAACTAAAGACTTTTTAAGTCTTGATTAAGAAAATCAAATAAAGTAATTTTTTAAATGAAGAAGTATCAAAATAAATTAAAGTAGAGAATATGGAAAATGGCGTATTATTATTAATTAGAAGTTGAAATATAAATTTTTTTTGGTATTTTAAACAAACACAACGGATAAAAAATTGAAAAGAAAAAGAATCAGACTTTAAAGAAGTGTTATCATTTTTGAATCAACAAAGATTAAGCACACAAGTCATCATTTCTATTATTTTCTTTTTTTAATATTACATCAGAAATTAATAATGTTATTTAGAAAAATTATGGGTATTTATTATAAGATAATTTTATTATTCTAAACTATATTAAAACTAATTAAAAGAATTAATCAAAACAAGTTTTTAAATTATTAATGAAATAGGTTGTTCTTCATCTTCATTTTTTAAATTTTTCAATACCTTTGAAGATAATAGTTTTAATGTTTTAATTTCTTTTGCATAATCAACAAAATTTGATTCATTTTGGATGTAATTCATTTGTACTTTTTTAAATGCCTTTAACATTGTTTTTTTAAATTCTTTTTTTAATTCATTACGTTGAACAGCAAATTCTTTTGCTTTCTTATTTAACATACGTTGTAGTTTTAATTCATTTTGTTCTCTTTCTTTCATTAGTTGTTTTCTTAATGCACTACTTCTAATTTCAATTTCTTTTTCAGCTTGTTTCATTTTCTTTTTAATTTCTTTTAATGCTTTTTTTTCTTCTATTTCTAATGTGTGAATATCTTTTTTTATTTCTTCATGTTCGTTTGTTTGGAATTTTTGTGAAATTTTTCTTTTCCATTCCATATCTATTCTTTTCTTCCAGCTATCATCATTTAAAAATGATGTCATCTTAGGGTCAATTCTTGGATTATATTCTTCTGTATAATAGTCATATTGAACTGGCTTTACTTGTTTTACTACTCTTTTATATTTTCTATAATATATTGGTTTAGGTCTATATTTACTTCTTGGTGCATTATTAACCCATCCCCTTACTCTTTTATGAGCCTTTCGGTATGGGAAGAATTTTCTTTGATATTCCTCATAAAGTTTATCTGCCCGTTCATTATTTTCGTTTTGGTTGTCATGAGCATGTCTTAATTGATTATTATATCCAGATTTATATTTTGGATCATTTGCATGTGGACCATTATTTTTATAAAGAATTGGTACTATTTCTTCATTTTGTTGTTTTTTGGTTTTACTCTTTTCTTCTTCCATTTTGTTTATTGTTCCTATAAGTTGGTTTGTCTTTCCCAATAACTTTTGAGTTTTTTTCCATTCTTCTGATCTTTTATGTTTAGCTCTAGTCTTTTCAGTTTCTTTTTCCAAATCTTTTTTCACATGTTTCATCATTTTAACATTCTCATTATTTGTTTGAGCATTTTGTTTGATGATACTGTCAATTTCATTTATAACAGGATTATTGTTTGGATCCATTTCTTTTTTGTTATTGTCATTTTTATTTTTTTGGTCTTGAGTTTTATAATGATTATTTGATAACTGAGTATTATATTTTTCATTATTCTTTGTATTAGAATTGCTCTGTTCATTGTTATACTTATTGTTTCTATTTTGGTTATTTGAGTAGTTTTTACTTGTTCCTTTTCCACTACTCTCTTGGTTGTTTTTATTTAATTCATTAGTTTCTTTTTGTTTATCTCTAGGAATAATGTTAGTCGGGTTATTTCTATTAAATTCATTAATAAGACTACCAGGACTTTTGTTTTGATTTGAATCACTGTTGTATTTTCCATTCACTTTATTATTAGCATATCCTCCAAATGGTGTAACGTTAGATTCTTGAATACCATTCATACCAATGCTATTATTATTTACAGCTCTCTTGTTGTTATTTTTTACATTTCCATTTCCATCAGAAGAAATTTTATTTGAGGAATTATTTAATATATTTGAATTGTTTAAATTAGTTGTACCTTTTGATTGCATAATATTACTCGATCTTTTTGAATTATTTAGTTGTGTTCCATTATTTAGTTGTGTTCCATTATTTAGTTGTGTTCCATTATTTAGTTGTGTACTATTATTTAGTTGTGTACTATTATTTAACTGTGTACTATTATTTAACTGTGTACTATTATTTAACTGTGTTCCATTATTTAGTTGTGTTCCATTATTTAACTGTGTTCCATTATTTAGTTGTGTAGTGTTGTTTAATTGTGTTCCATTATTTAATTGTGTACTATTATTTAATTGTGTTCCATTGTTGTTTAATTGTGTACTATTATTGAGATTAGTATTGTTTGTTGTATTAGATAATTGGTTAGAATTATTATTAGTATTACTAGTATTATTTAATGAATTAGAAGTTTGGCTATTAATAGAATTAGTGTTAGCAGCCTGTCGTTCAGCAGTAATTTCGCTAATACTTTTTGATTGAGATGCTAATGAAGGTTGTGCGAATTGTGGACTTGGTTTTGATGAAGAAGGGTTCATAGAAATTCCTGAATCTTTTCTAACATCAATTCCACTTGAAGTTAAACGGTTTGTGTTTTCTTTAAAATTATCTCTGTTATTATCAAATTGTTTTCCACTCCAATGACCATTGACATTTGTTTTCCTCCATTTCTCATTGTATAAATGTGCTCTTTTACGATATTCATCTCTGGCTTTAATTTGTGATTTGTCTCTTTCAGCCATTTCTTTTTCGTAAACACGTGATCTTAATGTTGCATCATCATATGAATTTTCATTTCTATTAAATCTATCGTATTTATCTTCAACTGTATTATTCAATTCTTCTTTATCTAAACTTCGTGCAATCCGAACACGGGAAGTTTTCCATCCATTTTCTTCAGTTGCCACTTCAATTGGTTCAAGACCTTTTGAAACAACAAAAATAATCATAAAAATCAAGAATTTCATTGATTTTTTAATAATATAATTTTTAAGTTCTACAAATTTTTATTTTTCTTCTTTTTTGTTTTTGATTTTTACAAATAAAAATAAATAACACAAAAAAGAATAACAATCTTAATCAAAATAAATACGTTTAGTTTTAGGTAATGCAGGTGGATAACTTGTTGGTTTTTTTACTTTATTTGTTGAATAAAAATCTTCCTAGAGAAATGAGATTGAGATTTATTTTTTGATTATATTTAAAACGAACACACAAACTTCAAGGATTTGACAGAAATTTTCGGGAAGAGATATAACATCAATCTCTTCTGTATTTTCATTTAAAGTTACTAAATCTGATAATTTAGGCTCTTTATAAACAGGTTGTTGCAACGGAATAGGAGCTATTAATCCTTCCATATACTCATCAAAAGAAAATGAAGTCCAATTAAGCATTTGACAAACTTCTCCAAGAGCGTCATCAGTCATTTCCATTTTTTTTAATTCAAAAAATTTATTTGAAGTAGTTTCATTTATTTCTTTTATTTTAGGAGGTAATTTTGGCAGGAAAAGGCCATTTCGCGACTCAACTTGAATTTTATTTTCTTTCATTTAAAACAGTTTTTTTTGATATTTTTAAGATTATTTGTTGTTCATTTTTAATAAAACGATTTAATTGTTCTAAAAATAAAATATTCAAAAAAATAGATCACATATAGAATCATTTAGATGAAGCGAGAAACCCTTTTTTCTTTTTCAATACTACGTGGAGTAAAGATAAGAATCGAATAGATTTGAGGATTATTTTTCAATTGAAGAAGGAAATAAAGATTTAGGATGTGATGAACGTATTACATTTATAAGAAAAATATGAAATGAAAAAAAAAATACAATAAAACTTCATTGACATTCATCATTTTTTTTTTCATTTTTCATGTATTAAAATAATAAAAAATTATTATTATTTTAAATCTATACTAATTTCATAAAAATAGTTGAAATCAATTCATGCAACGGTCTTCTTTTGCCAATTCACAAATTCCTCAGTATTCAAGAAAAACAAGCGTTTCAAGAACAAGTGGTTTAACAATTGGTTCATGTAAGAATTTAGTTCTTGAAGAAAAGTATAAATATTCACTATTACCAACAAGTAATTATAATCATTGTGTTGGGTATTCTAATTCACCAACACGTTTAAATTCACCACATATAACATTAGCACTACCAGATTCAGTTCCAAGTTCACCACATAATACTCCCGCTTTAAGAGAACGTTCAGGAAGTGCTACAGCAAAAATATTTGAACGTAGAGAACCATTTTTATCTAAAAGACAAAATCCACTAGTAACACTTAGTTCTATGCTTCAAAAAGAATTAAATTCATTAGTTTCTATAACACCAAATTCTAGACTTACTTCTTATAATATTTATTTAACAAGTTATCTTGACCAACTTATTTTGAGTTGTTATTCATTATTTGATGATCCTAAAGTATATTTAAAACCTGATATTCCTTATATTTCTACATTCTCTCATGAAAGAACATCATATTTTGCTGTTTCAACAAGTATTGGAATTAAACAATTAATTGATGTTGAATTTCAGAATGAGTCATATGATGTTTATATTGTAATTACTGATCTTACTGAAGAATCAGCATTATATTTAAAGTCTTTTTCTTCAAAAATGATTAAATTTTTTGGTACACAAGCATTAAAAAAATTAATTGTTGTTTCTTTGAATGATAATGGTGTTGTTAATGATTTTTGTACTACCAATGAAGTTATTAAAATAGTTGATGAAGGTGAATTAAAAAATACTATAATTTCAACAATTAATAAATCTAAGACGAGTTTATTATATTCACGTCTTGATGTTGTAAAGAAAATTATTATTCTTGGTGATTATTTTGTTGGTAAATCAACATTATTTCAATATCTTACTCAAGGGTCTGAAGAAAAAAATAAATTTTATGAAGCTTCTGTTGGTATAACTTCTAAGAGATCATTTATTGGTGATATAGATGTTTTTGATATGCCTGGAGATTTTAGAATGAAAGCTCAAATAAACGAAAGTAATGATGATAAAACAATAGAAGAGAGAGCAGTTGATAATACAATTAGTTATTTACATGAAAAACAAATTGGAGGAGATTTAATTATCGTTATGTATGATGTTACTCGTATAACAACTGTGACTTATGCACAGAATTTAATTAAAGAATTAAAAAGAGTTTATCCATTTGCATCTATTATTGTGCTTGGTAATAAATTAGATTTAGCTTATGAATATGGAATAGAACCAATTAATTGTGAATTTAATAATGTAAATGATATGATTTCATTATCATTAAATCCTATAACTAAACAAGTATTAGAAAAATTATTAAATAGAATTAAATTCTTATTACAATCTTCAACAATTGACTTCAGTAATTTTACAAAAGAATTTACTAAAGAAGGAATAGTCAAAGTTATTGAAGAATATCCAAAGAGTTCTAAAGGAATTTCAAAATTGGTTCTTTTAGAAAATGCAAGAATTACTATCGGAATGTCTAAACAAAAAATTGGAACAAAACCATTTTACTTTTTAATGGACCAAACTACAACATTTGAAGAAGTTGAAAAGAAAAATCGTTTTGGTTTAATTATAACATCTAAACATCAGAATATTTGTATGTTATTTAAAGAAGAATCTCAAAGAAAAGAATGGAAAACTTCATTAACTGAGAGTCTTGTTGTTGTTAAAATTGGTACTTTAATGAGCAAAATTGTTATTCAAAGATTTATTCACGAAGCTTTAAATGAAATAGGAAATGAATATGATCATGATAGTGATATTGAACATTTTATTTCTTCAGTTAATTCACATCTTCCATCTAATAACTATTCATTCCCTGATCCTATTTCAAGTAATGTTAATGCCACTGTTTCAAATAATGTTGTAACTCCACAAGTAACTTCAACTTCATCACCAATAGATAAAATGAGATCTCAAACACTTAAAAGATCTTCACGATTATCTTTACTTATGTAACACATTAATCTAAAATAACAATGAAAATTTTATTATTTAATTTCATAAATTAAAATTATCTTTCTCTAATTTTCTTTTAATATTTGGTTTCATCAAATTAAATAGAATTTACTTCAAATAGATTCTTCACTACAAATCTTACTTTTTCATATAATGATATCGTCATGGTTGTTTTGGATTGCATATATGGTTCTCCATCATATTGACATGCAATATCTTCATCAATAACTATTTCTATCACTTTTCCTTGAGCTATTCGTATTGGTTTAGATGCTCCAGTACCACTAACACATGCCCCTAGGTGAATTGCATTTGAAAATCCTACTAACTCTAATTCACCATCATTATAATGTAAGTCATGAAATTTAAACGCCATCTCAGCAACACTTACTGGAGGCCAAAATTTATTTCCACCTCCATACGTAGGAAGGTTAATAATAGCTAATCCTTCAATTTTTGGTAATTCAATTTCCCTACCATCTACTTTAACATGAATTAATTTATATAATTTATTATCAGAAACAATCATTGGGGTTGAACACATAATATACTGTAATTTATTTGTAAACCTTGATGTAAACTTTTCTGGATTAGCATTTCTCTTAGTATGAAATGCAAGGGCTATTGCAGCATCAAGTCCAATTGAAAAATAATTGTTGAAAATATGAATAGGTTGTTCTTGTCCTTCAACGCATACTTGCCATCTATCCATATCTTGTACTGAGGCATCGTACACTTGAGGAAGAATAACTCCAATATCTTCTCCATCATATCCCCCTCCCCATCCAGTTGAGATGGACATATCATTTCCTGTACCTAATGGAATAACAAAAATTTTTGGTTTCAAATTAACTTTTTTCAATTCGTTCATCACCCATCCAACTGTTCCATCTCCTCCACAAATCACTGCAACAAAATTACTACCATAATTCTTTATAAATTTAAATGGTCGTTCATATCCTTTTAATACATTATAAACTTGTGCTGGATTAAACAGTCCAATAGCATGTTTAAATATTTCTGATCCAAAATGTCCTCCTGATTTGTTATTAATAAAGAAGATCATTGGTTCTTTCTCTTCTTCATAAAGTGCTTCATACCAATCATCTTTTTCCATGACCAAGCGTGCTGGTAATATAAATTTTCTTAGTCTACCCAAAAAACATGTACTTGGTAATTTCTCTATACATTTACCATCTACAGCTAATTTGCACCACGCACAAATAAAATGAGCTGATGTACATGTTTCTCCACAAACTACACAAGTTTTTCCAACATGATTTTTTGTGATTTGAACAAACCAATGAGTATCTTTGTCATCTTGAGGTGAGGCTATTGGACGGCAGGGTGTTTTTATATTCTTAATACATTTTTTATGAACATTCATATTACATACTGAACATTTAAATCTATCAGAAATAAGACCTTCATGACATACAGAGCATGTATATGCAAATGTACTCCCCACTTTTCTAAATGAATGTTGTCCATTTTTTAAATTTTTTTTACTAAACGTTGGTTCTGGAAAATCGATAGGATCTTCTTTTCCACTGCACTTCAAATAAAATGTGTCTTTACACCCTTTATGAATAACAAAACCACACTTCGTACATTTTAGTGATGGACCTAAACATAATTGTCCACATGCAACACATAGAGATGATACTGAAAATTCCTCTTTAAAATTATGTTCTTCTTTAAACAACCCACTGTTAGTCACATCTCTAGGTGTCAATCCGCATGACTCCTTTTCAATATTTGCAACAGACATATTTGAATTTCAGTTCAGTTTTAGGCTTTTAAATTTACTTGATTTTTACCTTTTTCTTCTTTTTAAAAAATAAAAAAAAGATTTATTTAAATAATAAAATGTTTGGTATGAAAAATAATTGCAATCTTTCATTATAAAAATGGTTTATTTTTATTGAAAAGTTATGACCTAAGAAATAAGCAAATTTCTCTTTAATGGAGTATTTGATTCACTAATTAACAAATGAAATAACATTAATTGATTATAATAAATAAAGCATTTATTTTCTTTCTTTTCTTTATGGCGTATCAACTATCAATTATTTCTTGTGTATTTCGTTATGTATATTCATTAGATTTTGTTTAAATGATTAATGTAACATTTGACTATTTTCTAGAAATATTTTAGTGTAGTTTGAAGTGAATGAAACATACCAAATAAAAAGACAAATGAATGATGATAAAGAAAGAAATAATAATCAACAAGTGATGATATGCATTTCATGGGAGTAGAGGAATAATCAAAGAAATGATGATAAGAAACAATGATAGAAACTTAATGATTTTCAATTAAGAAGTAAAAATGAAAGAAAATAACAAGAAACTTCACAATGAGAAAAGATAATAAAAAAGAAAATGATGAAAAAATAGATAAAAAGAATAGGAATAAAATCACTCATTTCATCTTCTCATTCATTGAAGTTATCACAATCACTCTAGAAAGTTATTGAAGATGTTGTTTTATTAATTATTAATGAAGATGGAGTTGGAACATTTCAGAGAAATTGAAAGAAAATTCATGGTATTTATAAATGAATAAAACAGAT